GTTGGGGGTTGGGAGCTGCAGTGCTGGGGGAGGAGAACGGATCACATGACCTGAATGCGTCAGCACTGAGAGCCAATCCTACTGGCTAGAGGGCCGCCCTGATCCGCTGGCTTGCCTGTTTCTTGGCAGAAAAACATATATTACACCAAACATACAGTTTAAAGGATCAGAAATGAGTGTGAACACTGACATCTGTGTGTTGCAGCACATCAAATGTGCTTGTATTGTCCTGGTAAATGACAAAATCATGGTTTAACCACTCACCACCTTCGAGAAGACTTTCCCGGAGACACTGCTATATATACCAGACGTCTAGACCACTTGTTCGTGCTTGCTTCGGCAGCACATATACTAAAATTGGAACGATACAGAGAAGATTAGCATGGCCCCTGCGCAAGGATGACACGCAAATTCGTGAAGCGTTCCTCATTTTTGAACGATTTTTAATCGTTAAACGTAATTAAGATTAAGCTGGATTTAAAAAAGTCTTTGACGTACGGAGAAAGTGCCTAAAACATGCACGTATATCAAACTTTGTGAATTGACAGTGTGGAGGCATTTTATTCACCATTTATTTATGATGTAGCAGCATCCCAGTAACAGTAACATCCCAGTCCCAGTAACACAGTCCAGGGGCCCCAGTTTACCCCCCTCTCGCAGTGTGAACTTTGCGGACTGTCTCTGTAAATACAAGAACACTGTAAAAATTACGAGTCAACAGAAAAGCAACAAAAAACCCTTCAAACTAAGCACAACTATATAAAGTAAAAGTTACGTTTTTGGCCACTGCAATGTGATGATTTGACACTAAGGAGCATTACATAGAGACATATAACTAACTGTCTTTTACTATTTCTTTAGGTAGTACCGAATACAGAGCCGGCGGTTCATGTGAGAGGCCAGGAGCCCCTTACTGCCTCAATGCTGGCAGCTGCACCCTTAAAAGAGCAGAAACAACTCCTGGGTACGAAACGTGCACACACGATCACTTAAAGGTTTAAAGATGTGAGCCGCTTGAATCATTTTATATCACCTGCATCCTAAACTTGAATGAACAATACTGCTCAGTAGAGGGCGCTACTAGAATAGTACTGTTAATAAACGATTTTTCACTGTAGTACTGTTATATTTATCCAGTGAGAACAAATTAATTCTTTGTGAATTCCCCTTTACAGTGAAGTACTGAAAAAAACTACAATGTCGAAACTTTACAGTGTCTATTTAGTGTAAAGTAGCAGATAGTTATCATATGGCTTCAGAAGACTTGGAATATAGCACACAATCTATGTACTACTTCGTAACATGAGTAAAATGACCAAACTGTTTGCATCCCATACAGGTGAGCGGCTGTATCCACTTATCCAGGCCTTGCATCCGACTCTTGCGGGAAAGATTACAGGCATGCTGCTGGAGATTGACAACTCTGAACTACTGCACATGCTCGAGTCTCCAGAGTCCCTGCACTCCAAGGTTCACCTGCTCAAAACATGTACTCGACATTTAGTCTCAAAGATCAGATTTTGTTTGATCATTGCACTTTTCTGCACTGTTTAGGTTGAAGAGGCTGTAGCGGTGCTTCAGGCTCATCAAGCCAAGGAACTGTCGGCAAAGTGAGGGAGCTTTGTAAGGCGGGTAATCTACGAGCATTTTTTTGTCGCAATATTTGGTCTTAATCATGCAAGGCCAATTAGTAGCGTATACGAGTGTCGCACAGAAATGTTGACCGATTTTATTTAAATTTTACAGGCATGCTCACTGAAGGTCTGTGAGGGTTGTTCCAGAGAAGGAGGAAAAGAAAACAGCACTTCAGAGTCATGCTATTTAATGCATGGTTTGCACACTTCAAATGTCCTTTTGCTCTCCACAGTGTTAAGTTTGTTCTGGTTTTGTTTATTTAAAAAAAATTATAGAAAAAAGTAAAATGACAAAAAAGGCTAAAAAATATTTAATTTCTGTGTTTAATAAATTATTCTGGCTTAATGGACATGCAAACAAGTTTCTGAGTGTCTTATTCTTATCAGTTATTTTGAGTTTGTGGCAGGGACACATTTGGAAGAACTTTACATAGCTTTTTATTAAAATAAGCTTTAAGTTAATGAACGTGTGTAAAAGATTTGTCCGCTTTGCAGAGGGTAAGGTACAACCTGAAATGTATAATCTAACAAACAAAGCTTTTAATTGAATAACAAAAGGTTTTTATATTTCACGTTTGTGCTAAATGCTGGAAAGAATATTTTAGAATGGTCTTGTGTGAATATTATTACATTTTAGTTTTATGCATAGAACATATCTAATGAGTGTTGTGATCTGCTATATACTCCTAAGGTTACTAGTGCAGATACTTAAACATTTTTCAGGTAATATTTTTTTATTAAAATTAGAATTATATGTGAGAAATTGTGTGTATTGAATTAGTGTATCTCCATTTTTGGCTGATCAGCTATTGGTAAACTTACTTGAAATGTAAACATTACAGTTCTTAACTACAATCCTTTTCGTAAAGAAAAAGTGGGATTACATAAAGATGTTGCAAAAGTTTCGTGGATTTTTCATACAATTATTGCTGCTTTTTGTAGATTGAGAAAATGTTTCAGACACCATTGTTTGATTGGTTGATGAACGAAATGTTTCAGACGCTATCGTTTCATTTGCTGTTGGAGAAAATGTTTCAGAAGCTATAATTTTATTGGCTGCTGAACAAAATTTTTCCCGAAACTGCAATGGTTTCATGGTTGACAACCACATGCTCGTCTTAAACATCTACTGACTGATAAAATCGCAGAGCTGAGACTGAACATGATCTGAGCGCTTGAGAACTCACTAAGCCTGCTCTATTTCAGTGTGGCTCTTTGCAAGTGAGTACTTATCCGGAGTAACTTGTATCACTAGCAATTGTTGCTGTGTTTTACAATGTCCCGCCAACTGCTTAATTTAAACTTAAATTAAAGTAGTGTGATCAAATGCATGAAACCACAAACATAAGTGATTACACTGCAGAACAGGGAAAGTTTAAATTAGGGAATTAGATACAATTTCGCTATTATTCTGCTACCGAAAATTAAGACCAAAGTGACGCTTCTATTAATCAACAATGGCATATCCTATACTCGAGAGCCACCTAGTGGCAGAGAAAGACATAACTTTGAATTAACATGCTCTCTAGCTGTGGAGAAACCCATAGCTTATACTTGAGACCCTCTAGCGGTGAACTGAGACATTACAGCTAAAACTATAACAGCCAAATACAGGTGCATCTCAATAAATTAGAATGTCGTGGAAAAGTTCATTTATTTCAGTAATTCAACTCAAATTGTGAAACTAGTGTATTAAATAAATTCAATGCACACAGACTGAAGTAGTTTAAGTCCTTGGTTCTTTTAATTGTGATGATTTTGGAGTGGGGGTTCAATCTTCAACTGGCTGGCAGGGGCCGCCACTGACAGGTCATGTGACCTGCCAATGGCTGGTGGCAGCTGCCAGTCTGATTCTGGCAGGTCATGCGACCTGCCAGTGGCGGGCTGGCAGTCTCAGCCGATGTAGATCTGCGAGTATAACGCTTTCCCTATCACTCTTGCTGCAAGGAAATACACTATTTTATTGTTATGAATATATTCTTATGACTCTGTTCTTTTGTATGATTGACGTTTTAGTTTTTTTCCGCCCATTTAAAGCAGTCAAATACCGTGATCACGACTGGTTGCTTACTGACGCTTCTCTGGACGCTCAACCCGCCAGCCGCTGCTGAGCTGCAAGTATAACGCGTTCCCTATCACTGTCTCTGGTCTCTGCTACATTATTTTAATATTATAAATATATTCTTATGACTCTATTCTTTTGTATGATTGACGTTTTAGGTGGGTTTATCCCAATTAAAGCAGTCAAATGAACGTGATCACGACTGGTTGCTTACTGACTCTCAATCCAGCCAGCCACGGTTAAACTGCGAGTATAACGCGTTCCCTATCACTCTTACTGCAAGGAAATACATTATTTTATTATTATGAATATATTCTTATGACTCTATTCTTTTGTATGATTGACGTTTTAGGTGGGTTTATCCCAATTAAAGCAGTCAAATGAACGTGATCACGACTGGTTGCTTACTGACTCTCAATCCAGCCAGCCCCGGTTAAACTGCGAGTATAACGCGTTCCCTATCACTCTTACTGCAAGGAAATACATTATTTTATTATTATGAATATATTCTTATGACTCTATTCTTTTGTATGATTGACGTTTTAGGTGGGTTTATCCCAATTAAAGCAGTCAAATGACCGTGATCACGACTGGTTGCTTACTGAC